TGCATTGCCAATTAGAAAATGTCCGGGAGTTAACGGATTGAAGTCAGTAGGATCTGAAGAGATAGGACTGAGAGGGCGGGAATTTAAGCATGCTTCTATCTGTGTTAGTAGCGTGTAGAATTCTTCGAATGTCAATTTTTGTTCACCAATGACTCGTTTTAGGTGAAATTTAGCAGATTTCACCGCACTTTCCCAAAGCCCTCCAAAATTTGGTGCTTGGGGAGGAATGAATTTCCAATCTATTTGCTCCTTGTTCAAGAAAGAATTTACTTGACTATTATATGTACTCCCAGTAATAAAACTCTTTAATTCCTTTAATTGGCGGTTTGCCCCCACAAAATTTGTAGCGTTATCTGAGAAGATGCGTTGACATTTACCTCTCCGTGCTATAAAGCGCCTAAAACAATTCAGGAATGCATCTGTACTTAAGTCTGTAGCTAGTTCTATGTGAATTGCCTTTGTTACAAAACATACGAAAATACAAATGTACGCCTTCGTAGAGATCTTAGTCCGAACACGTTCTTTGGTCATAAATGGGCCTGCGTAGTCTACTCCGCAGGTACTGAATGGACGAGCAGGTGTCACTCGAACGGCAGGTAGTTGACCCATCAGATAAATGGCCGATTGAGGTTTTACTTTAAAACACCTTACACAGTTTTTAATTACTTGTTTCACATTCCGTTTGCATGCCAAAGGCCAATACCGTTCCCGCAAAGACGCTACTACATGCTGACATCCTGCGTGTAACAATCTAATATGCTCATGTCGAATTAGAAGATCTATGAATGGATGCTTTGCCGGTAATATGATTGGGTGTTTTTGATCATATTCGAGGATAGCGTACTGGAGTCTGCCGCCCACCCTCATTAATCCCTTTTCATCAGAAATGGACAGAGTGTAATGACTGGACTATTTTTTGATAGTAACTGTGTATTTCTTAGTGCAGTCAGCTCACCAGAAAATACCTCGGCTTGTACAAGACGCAGCAATGCATTTTCGGCTCGTTGAATTTCACTAACTGTTAAGTTGACCCCTGTGTGATACACACGGTCATGTGACGTTATTTTTTTAGCCTGACAATTTGAAACAAACTTGAAACAATATGCAACCACCTGTACTAAACGAATATAACTCGAAAATCGCTCAAAAATGGAATAGTCGTGAAGTGTGCTTATCGTTAATGTAGTAATAATTTTTCTTTCTTCTGGAATCTCTGTAATGGATATGTCTGAAGATGGCCAAATATCTGAATTTTCATTAAGCCAATAAGGACCTGACCACCAAAGGTTATTGTCCTTCAGGGACATCGGGTTTAAGCCACGAGAGATTATGTCTGCTGGATTGTCTTTTGAGGATACATGGCGCCAGTTATCGATCTTACTTAAATGTTGTATCTGTGAAACCCTATTGGCAACAAAGGTGTTCCACCTGCTCGATACACTTGCTATCCATGCAAGCGTAATACTGGAATCTGACCAGTAGTATTCTCTTTCAACAGGAAGATTAAGCGCTGATTGAACTTTGTGTACTAATTGGGCTAATAAAAGTGCTCCGCACAGTTCTAATCGTGGAAGCGTTACAGACTTGAGCGGCGCGACGCGGGACTTCGAGCACAAAAGCCGAGCCTCCCATTTACCTGACTTTGTTGGTGACCGTAAATAGACGCACGCCCCGTACGCCTTTTCTGAGGCATCTGCAAAACCATGTAATTCTACCTGAGCTAAACATCCAACTACTACTTTACGAGGAATTTTTATTAAGTCTAAGTTATGTAATTCCTGCCTATAACTCGTCCATTGAGCGTGTAACTCTTGGGAGATTGTCTCATCCCAACCTATCTGCATTTTCCATAGCCGTTGCATCATTAATTTCGCGCGAGTGATAACTGGTCCAATTAATCCTAATGGATCAAATATTTGCGCAATTTCTGATAATATTGTACGCTTTGTAACCCGTTTATTGTTCGAAGATGAAATACAAAATCGGAGTTCGTCTTCAACAGACGCCCATTGCAGACCGAGAGTTTTTGGATCTTTGTCTGCATTGAGTTCTTTTGCCGTTACTGTATCCGGGGACGATTGAAAAATAAGAGGGCAATTCGTTGCCCATTTACGCAATGGAAGCCCGGCCTGGAGTAATATTCCTGAAACTTCGTCCTTTAATCGCTTTGCTTCTGAGATCGTGGCAACCCCGGTTAGTAAATCGTCAACATAAAAATCGTTAATGATTACTTTGCTCGCGTTTGGAAACGTGTGTGTACATTCTAAACCTATTTGTTTTAATACCCGTGTTGCTAAGAAAGGGGCCGATGCTGTTCCATATGTAACTGTATTCAGTTCGAACGTTTCTATAGGCAATTCTGGACTTTGGCGCCACAGGATGCGTTGAAAATATCTTTCTTCTGGTTCTATAAGAATCTGTCTGTACATTTTTGTTATGTCCGCTGAAAGGACATAGCGATGTGTTCTAAATCGAATAAGAATAGAGATCAAATCACTCTGAACAGTGGGACCTACTAATTGCGTGTCATTCAATGACAAACCTGACGAAGATTTTGCCGACGCATCAAAAACAACCCTAACCTTTGTTGTAGTACTTCCCTCTTTACACACGGCATGATGTGGGAGATAGTATGACGGTTCTTGATTTAGTTGTGAATCTTGCACTCGTGACATGTGACCCAATATTTCGTACTCTTTCATAAATTCAACATAGTGCTGACGTAATTCTG